ATCAAGATCAGGTGATTGAATAATCATAATTGCTGTGGTGATATAAATATGGAATAATTAATATTTCAATTTTCAAGATGGCACAGATGCTTCTGTCAATAGAGAACGACTGGAAGAGACTCAAACTCCAACGGGATATCGACATATTAACTGATTTCACAGATCGTGGGAGGAAAACCAATATTCTGTATGCAAGTACTGATTACAAACAATTGGAGCAATAAATTCAGTACTGGAACCATAAGCCACACCTCAATTTTAACAGTTGACGAAATTTCAACGAAAATCTCGAGATCTGACACAGATAGCGAAATTGTTGTTATAACATTTTTTGTTGAGCTAGTTGAGAGCTACAAAAATGTTTCAACAAGAAAAATCGGTATCTGTCTTATTTCCAGAGATAAATAATTCGCAATGTCAATGAATATCGACTGACCCGAAATCCCAAAAGTCTTCATCCAAAATCTGTATTTAATTTCTTCTCTGATTGATGTTCGTCTTAAATCTTTTTTATCTATTTATTTGATTAGTTGCCATGTATGGGGTGATGACAGTGTACCTCGCATCCCCAGGAATACCTAAAATCCTGGATGTATTTCTACCTCTCAACGAATCACGCCCACACGTTTTTTTATACCAAACCGAGTACTTTTGCGATCAAGATAAATATTACACGCATATTCTACTCCACGCGTACTTTACAGTGCCCATCAGCCTGACATCAATCATCTACTTCGACAATTTATTTGGAATTTTGGTGAATCACACGTGCGGCATGTGTGGAGTGTTGAAGTGAGTGCATTAAAAAAAATTTTCGAATTTATGGGTAATTTTTGCATTTTTGCATTTTTGCATTTTTGCATTTTTACTGGAGTTTCCACTTCACTTTAGGGAATTTCTGTTCTATCGATAATTAATTAATTGTTAATTATGAAAATTAATGATGTCTTCGGGATTATTTGGATGTGAAAAATGAAAAGAATGTGGAATTATTTATGCGTGATGGATAGTTGAATGGGAATTCAGTGGAATTAAATGTTTTCTGAGGGGAATTTGATTGTTAATTAACTGAAGAGATGAAATGTCCACATGATTTTTAATTTTTCAGGAGCCATCTGGAGGCCATTGGTACCCAGAACCCAAGGGAAACGCTGGAGAGCCTTAAATTTTGCGCTAATTTACAAACTAGTATAATTGAGTAAGTTAATTATCACTGGCATCATTCAATTTTCAACTGAACAATAAAAAATGGCAATTAAAATGATTGTCAATTACGGTTATAGAACTGAACTTTCGGTTTAAAAAATCGTAAAACAACATTCCTTGAATGTACATAATGATAATTGAATGATGATCGGAAAATTGTAATGTAGTCTCAATTTTTTAATGATTTCTCTCGCCATCAAAAAGATTTGTCAATAACTTGGAGTCGGCTTGCACAATAGCCTTTTTACTTCTCGTCGGTTTAAACATGATGGTTGTGACAACGACAGGTGTAATGGCAAGTGTTCAATTCCAATAATTTAAAAACAATATTCCAATAAAGTCATTGATTTCTCCAGGTAATTATCAAAGTGAATGAACTGA